TTAGGTTGACATCCTGTCTGTCAAGCTCTAATCCTACGCATTGTCGCTCGTACCGAAGAAAGGCACTCCTTTTAGTTTCGCACTGTCTGGGGTGTGTGCGCGTGTCTGTGTATGAGATCGCGAGGGCATATTTCTTAGTGTGTTTTTAACGTTACTACTTTCATCATCATCATCAAATGCCTTGCAAACCAGCGTAGGCGATCATGTCTCTTCAAAATCTGTGATCGTCATTTGCGTGTATCAGTTCGCCCCTCTATGCCAGGAATAAAAAGGATGTGAAGAATCGTCTCATGTTGTCTTCCTCTGCTTCTCTTCCCACATATTTTTCCATTGGTCACCACATGTTACAGTTTCCCTATTCTCATAACATGACCAAACGCTTCTGTAGATTATCGTATTGGAGGTGGGCTCTGATTCATCTACGACAGTGTCGCGTGCGGATGTGCACTAGAACGAGCGAAAGCTTGGCCTACAGTGTGACGTGCTGTAAAGGCTGCGTGGTGATGTGCGGCGTACCAACGGTGACTAGGGGCGTCGCAATGTAACAAATGGCATCAACACTTAACATGCCACTGGCCAAGAGTAACACAACATGATGAATGTTGAAGCTTCCAAACGTAGCGGAACGAGAACTCTCTTTAAAGGTTCCATTTGTGTATTGACAATAGCAATGATCAACACAAGGAGAAAATATGCAATTAATAATCCAGACTGATATGTCCTCACGACGGGTCGCAGTCCGACCTTGAGATCCAGACAGTCATCTTTGTCTTCGGTTCGGCAGTCTGAATTAAGTAATGAAAGTATACCGGCTTACTGCCGAACTGTGACAATATACCAGCTTTCTGCTGAGGTCTACAGTGGAGTCCCGGGGTAAAACGTCCTCAAGGATCCAACTGTATACAACGTCTGCTTCCGTGGAATCCCGGGGTAAAGCGTCCTCACGGATCCATACGTCCGTCTCCTTCGGACTGTAAACATCAACTGCCTTTGACAACAATACCTTCACAACGTTACGTATTGTTTTTTTGCGTCTTAATTGCTCACTCAGTACTGGTGCGTTCTAGTGCACATCCGCACGCGACAGACAGGGATGGGTTTCTGAAGTGGCCCATTGTTGCTGTCACAAAGGATAACTTTCTTCTTCAATTGCCTTCCTCGTTGACATGGCGTATTGTGGTTTACAGCTAGACTGCGATGTCTGCGTCTTTCGGCCCAATAGGTTTGTCAGCAAACGCCTAATTTAGTCGCCTTTTAAGAAATTCACATAAGAGGGGCAGTGGACGTGTTCTATTTTTTTCTTGCCCATAATGGGCGCCCGGAAAACATACTTAACTTTACAGTTGGTCAACGCCAAGGAGAAGACGATATCGTTGATCTATATCAGTGGCAATTTTGTCCTATATTAACAGGAACTGCAGGGAATTTCGGGCCAGTGTTTTCGTGCAAACGCTGTTTACGTGGGAAACGAGATATGATCTGAAGTTGCGCGCATGAGCCCCTCACCCACTCCACCCCCCGGTTGCTACCTGCAAGTTTGACTGACTGATTGACACTATGAGTTTACACAGTCGCAGTCTGTATGAGATATATATATACAGAGCGAATCCCAGAGACTTCGTTCAAGGCACAGTACGTCTAAAGGCGTGGAAAAGGGACCTTTACTTACTTTTACATTAATTATAGCCAGGTTGATTTGACCAGGTCCTTTTGTATATAAATAGAGAAGGCCGTGATTTGACATGTGCGGAGTTTCTAGACACAACATTGCTTGAAGGCGCGGCATTTTATTGTTGTTGGGTACAGCAGCGTTCGTACGTCAGCATCATGTGTCATGTTGGGTGGCACAGACTATCATGTGTCTCACACAAACACTGGCCCCTCTTGTGTTCTTGAAAGATGTAACCGCTAATCTCCACTGCTACTCTACTAAAGCCATCCATCATTTCTTGCTCGGGTTGCTAAATACCTGGTCTTTCAAAGTAATGCACACTTTGTTTTGAGCCAGGGAGGGGCGGCAAGGAAAAGTCTCTTTCAGCCCTCTTTTCCCCCTCGCTCTCTTCTTCTCTCTCTCTCGCTTTCTCTCCACCCCCCTCCACCCCCGTTCCCCACAGGGTAGAAACTCTGTACATATGATATCCTTATACGCCCTGTAAAAGAATACCTGACGTGAGATAACAATAGGTTGGCCTTTAGCTTTAATACTGAGTTTCAGAACATAAGGAAACTTTCACTGTGGATGTTTACTTTCTTTTTTAAATTGAATCCCAAAGTGCTCCAGGATGGACACACAAGTGGATTAAAATAATGTTAACTTTACAAATAAAGGTGAACTTTTCTTCTTCTTCTTCTTTTTCGCGTTCACTGGCTGTACATTCCATCGAAAAGTTCTGGTTGTTCGTCCACTTCTGGACTCTAGCCCTGTTCCAGAAACTGAGTGTTGTATGCACATCCGTATTACAGATCTGACTTATTTGTATGCAGACTGTTGGTTCCTTACCTCAAATGTACTCCAAATTTGAAGGAAGCTCCTCAATTAGTCGACTCCTACGACATGCTTTTGGGGAGCAGTGGGTCTATTCTTGTTTTCCCCCACAATGAGGCCCCGGGACCCACTGAAAACTTTTACTAATACTACAAAAGTAATTTATCATATATTTTTATTCTTGGGCATGAAGAGAGGCAAGAAGCTGCCAGTCTATACAAAAAAGCCAGATCTTGTAAACGGATTTGCACGCAAAGCTCAAGTTATGGATTAAGACTGCCATCAAGGACTGGACGAACAGCAAGAACTTTCCACCTGAGTTTGCAGCCGGTAAACGCGAAGAAGAAGAAGAATTCATTTTGTGCATGAGTGCCATTAAACATTTCCTGATGCATACTAATTATGTTTGTAATAAAAAAAACATATGAGCTGGTTGAATAAAATTTGCATTTATACTGGAAGTTTAATGACAGCAGATATGGTATCTTGTAGTTGTTAAGTATGAAGATTCAAAATAAAAAATTCACTTGCAGTGGATTCCGTCTCACTGTGGCATCAAAGGCAATGAAAGCGCAGATGCTTTAGCCAAGGAAGGCAGTAACAAACCACAGACCTACCAGCCACTATCTTTTCCAGAAGTCAAAACTCTTATTAAGAGAAAATCAGAAACAGATTGGAAAACCAACACTGGTTATAACTACGGAAAAGATCTTCTGAAACACTTGAACAGAACAGACCAAGTCACAGTTTTTCGCTTACGCACTGGACACTGCAGACTCAATAAACACTCACATAAATTAGGTATGAGCCAAACAGCTCTCTGCCAGTGCCTTCGTGCTGAACAGACTCCAGAACAAGTCCTGCAAGACTGTCCTCTCCTGGCGGAGCTGCGGAGCGGCATATGGCAACACCCAGTAGAACTGACAACTAAGCTTTGGGGAAACCTAAGAGACCTTGAAAAGACATCCCAGTTTATGACCCACAGTGGATTATGCGCATGACCAGAGATCGCTGAAGAAGAAGAAGAAAATAAAAAAGATCAACTTAATTACTTACTTACCTTAGTATGTAGAGGTTTGCCAGAGAGATCGCCAGACGTCTCTATCAGCAGTTTTTTTTTGTATGGCTTTGTTCTACTTCAGTCCTGTCAGTTAGGTACTGTCGGATGTTGTCTTCCCAGCGGACCCTGGGTGGCCCTGGAGGTCTGGTTTCCTTGGTTCTCATCCTTCCATGGATTTATTTACACCATATTTTATCCCAGATGTCTCTGTCTTTCTTTGCAAAGGATAGCTGCCTGCCAAAAGTGTTGCATAAAGCATGAACTCCTTAGCTGCAGCCACTATCCACAGAGATCGGTGTAAAAATTAAACACAGTGACAGCTTAACTATGAAATAATTGTTAAAAGAAATAACACACGCACATGGACACTGGCACGATGACAGTATGGTGCAGTGTGTTATAATCTTTAGGGTGCTTCACTAGCTTCGGAGGCCAGTAATTCGTTCATAACTCTGATACTTTTAAAGGTATAGCAACAAAATTACAGTGGACTTACCTCCATGCATGCGAAGTCGGGTGACATCATAACAAAGGCTGGAAATGGCCACAGTTGGCGTCTAAGCTGCAAAACACCGCGTGATCTTGATTTGAGCCGTTTAATGGATGTGTACTGAAACGGACTTTCAACAACTTGGAATGCAGCGTTCAGTGCTGCCTGGATATCAGTGGTGGCTTTTTTCATCACATGTAATGATGTTACCCGACTTCGCCTGAACGGAGGTTACTCAGGTCCAAATTTCGTTGCCATATCTTTATTAAAAAGCCATTTGGTGTTTTGCCAACTTTCCCCACTTTGTTAATTTTAATACCTAGTGTGTCCCCATGTCCGCTGTTCAGTATTGTATGTTCTTTGTCACCTCCTGCTGGCCTGACTGTTCTCCTTAAAACCATATCCTCTCATTAATGTTCTCTAAACCATTGTGGCGTTTTTTGTGGCCAAAGAGTTTCATTTTACAAGGAATCTCTACTGTTTACCAGACAGATCCATCTGCACATCAAATCTGATTAATCTCTGAAAGAGCAAAACCTCGATTAATAATCTCATTCCCATGTGGGTTCTGGCCCCCCTTGGGGGAGGGGGTGGGGGGAGATAGACTTACTGCCACCTAACAAGCATGACATGAGTTGACCAATTAGTGATGTTTTTTTCAAAGTCGGAGTACATCCGCCTGAGAGAGGTGAGGAATCAACAATTTGCATACAAGGAAACCAGATCTGTAAAATGGATGTGCATGCAAAACTCAGGTTCTGTAACAAGACTTAAGAATCCAGAAGTGGATGAACAGTCAGAACTTTCTACCAGAATTTACAGCCGGTGAACATAAAGAAGAAGATGAAGAAATTATGTCATTTATGTTGTGCTTTCGTTAAAGTTTTTTTTCCCCTGCTTGTGTATCCAGTGTCATGGTGGACGTGTTTTAATTTTCTGTTGTGATTTTTAAACTATTTTTGCAGCCTTCTTGTTGGTGCCCCAAAAGAAAGCAGACTGTTAGGCAATAGAAAAACTGGTGGTGTATTGTACCGATGTAATGTCAGAGATGGGACTGAGTCATGTCAGACGATTGAAGATGGCACATGTAAGTATAAATAATCTGTGTTCATGGAGTTGGAATTTTTGGTGCATTCCTAAAATATGGAGTGAGTTTATAGTGTGTTATGTAAATTATGACCCATGAGCTTCTTTCCTGAAATTTTATAAGGATACAGGGTTCAAGACTTAAAGGTGATGATAGTGATAAAACACAGATTACTAGTGGTGTAGCTTTGCAGTAAAAATTCAGTTTAATGCTTACTTTATTTACAATATTTTTCCAGGTATAAGATGATTCCATGCATAAGACGCACCTTGATTTTAGGACCAAAAATATAGGAGAAAAATAATATGATTACATAAAGTTACTTAGGTATAATTTATCTTAAAATTCAAGAAAACTCATCACTGTCACACCTCTCTTCCAGATAGAGTTTTTTTTAGCTTGTCCTCATCTGTGTCTAAAAACGAATCACTGTCTAGATATATTGTCTCATCCTCATTTCCACCTGTGGAATTAGAAATACCACTTTCTTAATGATCTGACAGTGTGCCCTCAATCTTCACATTATCCGGGGATCTTTTTACCCAGGTACAAACTTCTCCTATAGTTGGTTTGTTCACATTACTGTCGCCAGAAGACTTCATCTTTTGGTTCTGTTAGTCTCTTGTGGTAACTTGACAGATTTGTTTAAACGCTGACATTAAGTTGTTGAATCTTAGTGAGAACTATAATTCCTAATATAACAAGTGTGAAATGCTGAATGCGAAGACAAGTGCAAAAACAGTTCCTCAAGAAAGAACTTTCAGTTTTATAATTTTCTCTTTCCAATTTATTTAGCCCCTGAACTGGCATTCCCAACCGAGGCCCTGTATGGAATATTTAACAACTCATTTGGTAAAAATCAAATACCATTGTTGAGATGCACACTGTTTTTAGACCCTAGAAAATAAATGTAGGCAGGTGCTTTGCAGGGAAAAAATATTAAAAATTGTAACGTGCAACCAGCATCACCGAAAGGGGTTGGTGGGGGGGGGGGGAGCCTTTAGGTTATAGTGGTGACTAGGTTCTGTGCACCATATAAAGTGACTTAGCACTGCACGCCCCAAGACCTGTGAAAAAGACTCCTGCAGTATTGATGCGATCAAAGAAGAATGACCCAAATACTGTCCCACCAGCGATGAAGTCGTCTACCAGTGACCTGGTCGCTGATGTGAAAATAAGTGAAGATGACGTTCAACCCCACCAGGACATTATACTGAGCGATAAATACCAGGTGACACAAAGTGCCACCATTCGCTTGAGGATCACCTAGGAATAGGTCCCAGAAACCTCGTTCAGCGCATAGGTTGGGTTATATTAGGACCCCCCAGCAGCAGCCAGGGTGGGGCTTTGAAACAACAAATTGCCTCCGACATTGGAACACTTGATTTTCAGTGAGAAAATAAGTAGTAGTAGTACATTTCACCCCACTAGGCCATCACACAAGCAACAAACACCCAATGACACAAAGTGCCACCATGTGGATTAGAATCACCCATGGAGAGGTCCCGTAAACCGTGTTTAGCAACTAGACCATATTTAAGGCCGGGCTATATTGCGGCCCCTGGCAAGAGCCAGGGTGGGGCTTCAAAATAACGAAAAATTGCATCCCACAGGGAGATGACAACAATGGTAAAGAAAGAAAATAGGTCGGACTGACTGACTTTCTACCCCACTAGGACATCACACAAGCGATAAACACCCGATGACCCAAAGTGCCACCATGTGGATGAGGATCACCATGGAGAGGTCCCAGAAACCGTGTTCAGACAATTGGCCATATTTATGGCCTGCCTATATTGCGGCCCCTGGCAAACGCCAGGGTGAGGCTTCAAATAACAACAAATCTCATCCTAAAAAGGACGTAAAGGTTAATTACCTGTGCCAGGTAAGTATTTATAAAAAAAAAGAAAATAGGTGTCTTATACTTGGGGAAATACTGCATGTTGAAAATGTAAAGTGGCTTAATAAAATGAAAATGAAGCATTAGGGGCATGATAAATTAAAAATGGATATGTAAAATACAGTTAAACTTTAACATAGTCCGACAGCAGTTCCTGCCATTGGGGTATGAAGAGTTAGGCCATCACATCATTCCATGTATATATATATATATATATCCTTCCAGGTTGTTTGATCCATACAGCAGTGGTAATTGTCTCCCTTACAGACCCCCAGTAAAACAGAGTAGTGTAGTAGAAGGGGCAAGGATGGAGAAGTGAAATGTTTGAAAAGATCATGCCAACAGTTGGACTAAACAACCTGACAGTTTGTAAACATATCAGTAGGAAGAGGTGTGAAAGATATGGCTGTTAGATTTTCAACATCCTATGTGGTGTTCGCTTGTTTTTGTTTTTTTCTGGCATAGAAACAATTCTAATGTAGTGCCTCATAAAATTAACCAATTTTCTGGGTGTTTTGTTGTTGTTGTTTGTTTAAAAATCTGACATATATCCAGTTTTATGTAGACAGTTTTCTTATGGCTGAGAGGTTTTGGTGTTTGTGTTCAGCTCATGAGTCCACCAGGTCTAAATCCCTGCAAAAGTCTGAACTGGTGATTTTTTTATGATATCACATGTTATATGTGAGCGCCTGGGTAGTGATATTGGATACCTAGCCTTTTCAGATAAGGGTAAAAGAGAAGGCCCTGTGTACTTTGCGTGTTATAAAGCCTGTGACAACAAGAAAGGACCAACGGGTGCAAAACCTAGTGAAGTGGTCACACACACCAACACACACATGTACGCATGCACACACAGAGAGAGAGAGAGAGAGAGAGAGAGAAAGAGAGAGAGGAGTAAATAGTTAACACCTTGAAAGTAATCTATAAAAAAAACGACTAGAGGAAAATAATGCACATTTACATGCTGCAGTCGGTACTGACCACTAAGGTTCATAAACATTATGAAAAGATATACCAAACGAAAAATAAACTAGTCAGCTTCACATTATAATCACAAACAGAACGTGAACTTTGCAGCTAGAAAGCAGTCATTAACACAGGACATATATAGACATTGTCATAGTTACAAACAAGAAGATACAAAATGACTTAAATGAGGTATCTTTGAGAGAAATCCTGGTGTCTGTCTGGCCAGTTGAGGCTCTGACACTTGTGAATTCATGTGGTGAATACTAGCCAGATAAAATTGTGGCAGGCAAGGGCCTTATTTAAAAAAAAAAAAAAATTTAAAGCCATGTTGGACATTAAGTTGCACCCGCTTCAAGAGATTTAAAAGACTCTGTCATAGGAGAGTACATAAACAACTGCACCACACTGATCTCCAAAGAGCAGAGATAGAAGAAAAAGCACTGTTTGCTGAGCTGAGCTTGTTTCATTTCAGCAACTCCCCCTACTGATTCTGAACTGGTAGATGACCAGTGGCTGGGTGTGACAGTAGCCTCACAAGGTTCTGGCAAGAAGGCTGTGGTAAATATTTACAAAATATTGAATTATTTTGCTTTATTTTTCCCCCCAGCCTGTAGTCCAATTTGGTTTGGGTTGGTTATTGTAGATTCAGTGTAACATGAATAGAAACCAAGTATATCACAGCAATATATAGCAATCCTCACTGCTTAGCTTTTTAACTTTCCATTGTAGCAGAGTTTTTTTTTTTGGTCTTTCTTCTTTAAATGACTTACTTTGTGACATTTTAAAATTGTAAAAAAAAAAACACACAAAAAAAAACTATTATTTTAACAGAATTTAAATGATATTTCTGTCGCTCCACCGTTTTAAAAAACAACAACAGAATATTGGAATTCTCAAGAAATGTAAGCATCTACGGTCACAGGATAAACCTCAGTGAGTGTTCTCTGGGTCGTAAGAGGAACAGACATTGCTCTTTTTAAAAAAAAAAAACTATCATTTTAACAGAATTTAAATGATATTTCTGCCGCTCCACCGTTTAAAAAAAACCCACTAGAATATTGGAATTCTCAAGAAATGGAAGCATATACGGTCACAGGATACACCTCAGTGAGTGTTCTCTGGGTCGTAAAAGGAACAGCCATTGCTTTTTTCAGTAATGAACTAGGAAATATACAGATAAGGTTTTGTGGCTTGGGTGTTGTAAACATACTTTGTTATTCTGAGGTGCCAGTTGTCTATCCTAGCTAAGGGCTGTTTTGCAGCAGATCGTCTTGTGTTGGGTTTGACAGTGGTGTCAAGAACTGACCTTTTAGGGCAGTGGCAAACTACTGAAAGCAAAATAGTCTAGTGAAATCACAAACAGCCAAGCAATACTGGGATTGGTTCTGCAACGTCCTTTGTAACAATTGTATGAGCAGACGCCATACATTTATCTTTGTCCTCCTTCTAAATATCACACCCTACTTTATTGTTTTCCATTATAGATTTCAGTGATACCTATGGATGTTACCAATTTGATGTAGTCACTAGTTTATGGCTTAAAAATTTTTTATTGTTTTAATTGCTTTTTTATATTTTATTTTACTGTTTTTCCCCGTGTCCTTTCCAAGCATAGATTTATAGAATTTGATCATTGCCTTTTTTTTCTTCTTTTTCAGATTTGAGGCACACATACATATATATGTTGTGACATGTTTTTTGAGAAATTTGTATATAATAGAAATTATTTTCTTGACCCTAAACTTCAAGGTTTGTCAGAATGTCTGCAAATTTGAAGCAGGGAAACATTGTTTCAAACTACATGGCAATTTTAAATAAATAAATTATTAAATGATAAAGTTTTGCACTGATGGTAGGAGCAACTTACTAATTTTTTCACTCTTTTCTTAAAAAAAAAAAATCCATCTTATTCTCCCTTGTTCGCCCTTAAAAAGGCATTTGGGACATTATGTTGTGGTTTACAGTTAGACATAACAAAGGCACGCAAAGGTCTATCTGCAATGAGGATTATGGCTGCTTCCAATATAGAGCAAAGACTACTAATACTTCTATTCTACGGTCTGGTCCTTTCCCCCATTGAATACGCTCTGGCCATCCTCACTGTCAGTGCTACCCAGATTGAACGACTCGAAAAGGTGCAAAATGAAGCCATGCGCATTATTTTGGGATGTACAAGAGACACATCCTGTGGAGCAATGAGGTATCTACTTGACTTTCCAACAATGAACCAAAGGATCAGGATGTGGAGGGCTCGGGCATATCTCAAAATGTGTGCTGATAAGAAACACCCACTGCATCAAGCGCTTTTTAGTGAAAAGGGCGACAGACTGAAGAGGGGGAAATCGTGGCTAGGTGGGGCAGAAGATGTTATTAGGCAATTATGCAGCCTAACCGACATCATACCTGGTGCAGAATGGATACCTGTGCCTCAGGCGTTTATTTGTACATTTTCCTGTATTGTCACACTCAACAGGCGATGTAGAGAAGAGAATCCTGTTGCTGTTAATGCAGAGGTCAACGCTCTCATCGGTGAAAATTCAGACGAAGCAGATGCAATAATCTATACAGACGGATCCGTTATACGCCAAAGAAGAAGCGCATGGGCATTTACAGCACGCTCAGCGGGCAGAACAGTCAAAGAAGCCAACGGCGCCTTCTCCATGACAACCAGCAGCATGACAATGGAGGTGATGGCAGTGACGCAAGCGCTTGCCTGGCTTGAAACACAAAAATACACCCTCGTGTGTATACTCAGTGATTCAATGAGTATGATCCGGAGGGTTCAGGCACGTTCAGTGCGAAGACAATGGCTTGAATCATTACAGAAGTCCACTGTGTGTGGAGTCACCTTTATTTTTGTTCCGGGACACGCAGGCGTCGATGGAAATGAAAGAGCTGACATGTTGGCTGGATCCGCTATCACTACCGACGGTCAGCCTATGGATCATGCTGATATTATCAATGCCCTCAGAGAAATGGGAAGGATAGAGGACTTTGGTGGCAGTGAATCAACATCACTCGCCAGAATGGCAGACTTGGGAATTAAGATCGGTACAGCAAAAAACGAGACGCACACCAGACACGCCAGAAGACTTGTTAATCAACATAGAACTGGTACTATTAGCCATCGGACCTTGGGGTTCATACTGAGGGGAGGATCTGAGCACCTATGGACATGTCCGGAGTGCAATGAGGATAACCCAACTAACTAACTAACTAACTAACTAATTACAGTTAGACGGTGATATCCACACCTTTAGACCCAAGATATCTTATTTAAGCAAATCCTTAGTCGGTCGGTTTTCACATGTTTGTTAAGGAAGAGTTGGTCTCTCCCCCACCACCACGCCCCTAAGGGCCCTAGAACCCGCTAAGGAAGAACATGGCCAGTTAGCCAGAATCATGATGAGATCTTGAGAAAGTTGAGAGCCTCAAATACATCAGATTATCCCTACTGCTTGCGTAGTAAAAGGAACGGGTCATTTTCTTTGCCTTGGGTTGCTTTAGTTTATTGGTGTTAGCCTTATGTTTTACATCACTAGTTAGCCTGAAGTTATTTAAAGTACCATGTACTCACCTTTTGCCCCCCCCCCCTTTTTTTTTCCTTCTTCTTCTTTCTGTTAGTAGAAACATTTCTGCCAGGTTCATTAAGATCCACATGTAAGACTTTCACTGTCAGAGATCCTTGAATACATGTCTTAAGGGCATGTGTTAAGAACAGTTAGTGGTGGAAGCTTATCCCTGATACAACCACTGGGAACACTATGGCTGTTATTAGTATGTGTTGCAGAAGTTCTTTTATAACACAGTTGTAAAGGTAAAATCGGAAAATGTGAACCAGCGTCATTGCCCACGGTTATAAACTATAAGTGCTCTGCCACCAGTATGGACAGCTGATAAGAAGTTGTCCGCCTGTTTAGCCATCCGCACGTAACTCCATAGCTGCAGCGACGTTCCTCCATTTACTCCAGAGTGTCAACTCTAGTACCCATTTCCTAGAGGTTGGGTGAACCGTGGAAACCGCCCAGTTTTGAACATCGGCCGTGGGCTGCAGTGAGTCGCAGCTGGATTTGAAAGCGTGTCTCCTATCGACTGCACTAACGCAGCCCCCTATAACACAGTTGTCTTTCTTTATGCTGAAATTGTAATACCTGCTTCTTTTAGAAACATTGGTTATGAAATCATACTAAAGAAAGGCTAAAATAAGTTTTCCCACTTAGCATGCCTTGTGATGCCATGCCATACAAGGCGTACACCAAAAGAGAAGGACGTAGAGCACAAGATAGACCAAGAAGAAGATGGAAAGATGTTGAATCAAAAATCAACATCACAGCACTCAGGGCACTCTCATAAGCACTCCGTCCCCATCTTCAGCAGCAAGTTAAGAGTTCCGATTTCTATGTTACCAGTAATGGTCTGATTGTATTTTTGTCTTGCTCTTTCCATGAGTGTTTAACATCAGCCAGATTCCCCTAGTAGCTTCCCGCAGTGCCATTCTCCTAAGACCGTAATGATCTGTTTATGCTCTTCGGTTTGTTCACTGGACCCCAAAGGGCTCTCACAACATCTAACTTTTATATTATTTCATCACCAAGTGGTGCAGAACCGATCAGTCAATCTGCCTGTTCATTTCCCAACTCACTGGCAAGACCTGGAGAAAATATCTAAAGGACGCTAACTACCTGGGACTTCTGAAGTAATGCTTGCGACTCTGCACAGAGCATGCCTGTCTCCACCTTTCTCAACATGCTCTCTGAGTCAGTTACAATTCACAGCATGGGTGTACAGCTGATTCTCAAGCCAGCAGAAGGCAGCAGAAACTGTCTCCACCTCCATTCTCAAACTAGACTTTGTAAGCGACGTTGATTTGCCTATACTATGAACCTCCACGCACTTTGTCTGTCCCGCAATACAGAGCTATCTGTATAGTTAATCACATCACCTGGGCGCGAAATGTCATGAATCATTTGTTGAACCTCTGATTCTGCAGCACTATCTGGCCAGTCCCTGCACTCACAACTTAAAATGATAAGAACCCTACACAAGTCTGAAACTTGCTTTGACACTTTGACCCAATTCTCTCCTCCTCCAAATTCATCAAGCCTGCACACATGTCTAATTGTGTCTTCAGCTTGGATGGAAAGATGACATCAGAGAAACTATACAACTGCACAATGTGTCTATGGCCGAGTTGGCCAGAAGAACAAGCATCGCAACCTTATATTTCCCTTGACACCTGAAACGATAAAAGAGAAAGGGAAGAAGAAGAAGAAGAAGCAGTCATTTTTTGTAGTAGCACTTGAACATTCCAACGTTCCATTGGAACAGACATAATTGCATCTGCAACATATAGCAGTTACACTCCTGATTTAGATTCTTTGGTTTTGTTAAACAATCTTTGTGTCAACAAGATGGACAGTGAAACTTATTGTTATACTTGTAGCTTAGCTAAATATATACATATATATCTACCGGTTTGCCATTCTGACTCATATTCATTTCTCATATAAAGCTTCAAATCATTTATCGTCCCCTGTTTTTAATACAAAACTAAAACA